CACCAGAATATTGGCTGCAATAATCATGTCAGACCTAGTCTATGAAGACTAGGAGACTGTATATCCATGAAAATATTTCAAGTGATTTTTAATTCAGACATTTATAAAGATACCAAAAGAATTAAAACTAAACTTACATAATGAGCACCCATTTTCTTTGTGGGAGGATTTTAATAAATTATTTTAATATTTATTTTTATTCACTGTATTTAATATTTATAATATTACAAATTTTATTAATGCCAAGATAGATGTCATCACAGTTAAAACTTTTTTAAGGAACTGTTTACTTTTAATCTACATTTTTAGTGTATTGACATAAAGTTTTTGGTACTGGATCCATCTAATTTTTTTAATGATAGGATTTGTGATAACATCTCTTCTTAATACTATAATTTTTTTCTTTTTTGTGATCATTTTTGTGAAGTATTTATTAATTCTGTTAATCTTTTCAAAAAACAAACATTTGGTTTTATTGACCTCTGTTTCCTGTTTCATTGTTTTCTCTTTTATCTTTAGTATTATTTTGTATTTATGTTGGGTTTACTTTGTGCCTTTCTTTGTTCTTAACTCTTCAGGTGGAAACTTAGGTCACTGATTTTAAACCTTCCCTTTTGTTATTTGACATAAATGTTTGAACTCTGATTTTCTTTCAGCACCATTTTAAAGAATCTGCCATGGTTTAATATGCTGTGTTTTCATTATCATTGGGTTCAAAATATTTTCTGATTTTTCTTTTGAATCCTTCATTATCCCATGAGCTAATTTATTTAGAGTTGTGCTGTTTATTTTTCAAATATTTGTATATTTTCTAGATGCCTTTTTGTTATTGATGACAAATCCATTGTGATCAGAGAATATACTCAGAGTGATTTGAATCTTCTTATATTGAGACATTTCTATGGCCTAGCATATGGTCTATGATGATAAAAATTTTCATGTGTGCTGTGAAAAAAAATATACTCAAGATATATAAGGTGTAATGTTCAATGAGTATATGTTAGGTCATGTATATAGTGTTGGTGAAACCTTCTATATCCCTATTGATTTTTGTTTACTTAACTCTATTAATTGCTGAGAAAAGGTGTGTTAAAATCTCCGGTCACGATTGCGATTTGCGTATTTCTCCCTTTGATTCTTCAATTTTTCCATTATGAATTTTGAAATTCTTTTACTAGGTACATTGACAGGATTTTTATGCCTTTTTAATGAACTGATCATATTATCATTATGAAATATTCTTATCTACTATTCACAGATCTCTTCAGTCCCTATTATATATCAGTTTACAGCTTGTATAATTTCTTTTTATCTGAAAGGACTTCGTGTAGCAATTCTTAATAAGTCTAATGGAAATAAATCCTCTCAGTTCTCATGTATTCAAAATATCTTTATTTTACATTTATTATTGAAGGCTACTGTTTCTGGACATACCCAGCATTCTATAAAATTCTAAAATGACAGTTTGGGGTTTTTTCTTACCACTTAGAAGATATCCTTCCATTATCCTCTACCTTATGCTTCTAATGAGAAGGCAGATATTGTTCTTACTACACAGAGCCCACTGGCTCTGTGGGGAATGGGGGTGGGGTCTGTGTGTGTTACTAAGTCTTTTTTTTTTTATGGATGCTATTTAGATTTTCTCTTTATCTTTGGTTTCCAGTACTTAGATTTTGATATACATTGGTGTAGTTTCCTTTAAAATTATCCTCCTTGGGATTTTTAAAGATTTTTTATTTTATCAGTTGTTGTTTTTCATTAATTTTGGGGTCCTCCATGCAATTATCAGCAGAATTACCAGACTAGCAAGAGTGGGGAAAAGAATGTGGGATCAGAGAGTGCTCCCAAAGGCAAAGTTCAACAGCTCTGACCCTAACACAGATGAGGGTTCTCACCTTACTACATGAGGACACCTTATGGTCATTGACCACAGTATTCCAACCCTCCTGTGCAGGGAGAAGTGATGAAGGGTGCCAACAACCAGGGTGCAGAACAAGGTAGACCAGTGATACAGAGTAAGTATCTGGGCTGTAGACCATGATTCCACAGGGGCCCTTTTCACCAGCAACAGCCTAGAGATGATGGCAATGAAGAAGATAAGGAAAATCAAGATGAGACTCAGTGCTAGCAACAACCTCAGCTTGGTACCGCTGCAAAAATCAATTACCAACGCAGACACCCAGAAAATCCTAAACCACAAGATGGCAAAGAGACAAAAGCAACTGATCCATCAACTGAGAATTTGTTGTGGTAGTGGTTCTCCCCCTATCACTCCTTCACTTGTTGTAGTTAAACCTTGATTGCTTTTGGCACATCAAGGGGATGGGGATCACCCCCCAGTCAGATGGGCTGCAAGGACTGCTATGTCTACATTAAACAAGGCATTGTGTAGGAGCTACCCCATGGACCAGGACTATTCAGCAGGGTTCTGGATGTCCAATGAGTCTGCCTCTTGAGTGTGTCACTCATGGAGGTAGTTGAGTGGTGCTTCAGTGTGTTCTGAAACTGTCCACCAGGTATGTTGGCTCAGGGGCCTCCTGGGAGGGGCAGGCCAAGGTCAGCTGCTGCCTGCTCCCTGCCTGGGGCCACCCAGCGTGAGCTACAAAGCAGTCTGCAGGTGATTGCTGCTTGTGCTGGGCTTGGAGGTGCCCGGGAGGAGCCAAGCTGCAAACGAAGGCTTGGCAGCTGCTAGTGCTGGGCCTGGGGCTGCTTAGCCAGAGGTTCAGGGCATGCACAGGTCGGATGCTGCTTGTTTGGGGTGTGTGGACCTTTGATAGATTTTAGGAAAGTCCCTGAGTCAGTTCAGGCTGTTCATATGGAAAGAGCACTAGAATCAGTTTGGAGGACCCACAAGTTTGGTGGGGAACAAGTCTCAGGGAACACTAGGGCAGAGTGAACTGTTTTTAGCCAGGTTGATGGAGACTCCAATACAGTGCCCACTGGCTCTGTGGAGAATGTCAGTTTGGGGGGGGGAGGGTGTCAGCAAAGGAACAATGGCCTGTGCCAGCATGTCTCTCTGGTAGAAAGCTACCCCTAAATCCATACGATTGAGTTTCTCCCATATGTCACTGTCGCTCCAGTGCTGGAGCTCAGAGTAAGTGATTTGAGTAAGTTTGTCTGTGCCCCTTAAGAGGAATGTCTGGGACTCCAGAGGCCTTCTGTCTCACTCAGCTACCATCTCTACTGGTTTTCACAGCCAGGAGTTATGGGGACTTCTCTTGCTGGCACTGGAACCCCAGGCTTAGAAGCCTGGTGTGGGGCTGGGACTCCTCACTCCTCGGGGGGCAGGGCGGGGCGGGTACCTCCACAGCTGAAATATCCCTCCCAATTTTTAACCTGTACACATGGGTGTGGGACTAGCCCATTCAACATCTCCCCGCCCCCCTACCATTCTTCATGTGGCTTTTCCTGTATATCCTTAGTTATAGGACTTGTGTTCAGCTAGACTTAAGGCTTTTCTCAATGATGATTGTTCTATAGTTTAGTTACAATTTTCCTGTGGTCATGGGAGGAAGCTAGTAGTGAGTACCAACCACACTGATCTACTCTGCCAGTTTGGCCAAAGCCACCATATTCATTTTTTATGGCTGCATAGTATTCTGCTGTAAAGGTATACCAAATATATTTAGCCATCCCTCTATTTACATTCTTCTGACCTTTTACTTGTAAAAACAGTGCTACAGAGAATAATATATATCATTTTGTGATATAGTTTATATATCAGCAAGATAAATTACCAAAAGAGGGATCACTCTGTTAAACAATAGGTGCATTTGTAACTGACAACAGTGGTTGAATCTCTGTCCATAAAGGCTGTATTAACTTATACTCCAACTAGCAGTGTAGGAGATTGCTCATTGTCAAATCGTCAATGAAGTTTTAACTTGCATTTCTCTTACTATGGGTGAGGTTGAACATATTTTCATGTACCAAGAATTCGTATTTTTTTCCTGATACACTTTTTAAATTTTGGATTTTGTATAACCACTAAAGATTTAACATTTTTGAGCCTATTCTCTGCAAATATTTTAAAGCAATACGTGACATAGTATAGAGGTTAAGAGTTATGAACTCCGGGGTCTTAGTTTATGTCTTCGCTTGTGTCACTTCCGGTGAGATTATAAGGCAGCTTATCAAATGTCATTGTCACAGGTTCCTTATCTATAAAACTTAAAACTTTGTATGTTTTAAATCAGAAAATACAATGAAGACCTTTTACTGTACTTTCATTAAGCACAGTGCCTACTATACAATAAGATCATAGGACTGTTAGCTATTGTTAGTTTTCATTTGTTCAATAAATGTTATACTTATATAAAAATTTTATTAGTGATAAAAAGCAAGAATTAGGCTAAATATTATAATTAACTGGAGCTGGAAGAATTATGAGTAATTTGTGATACTTTAAATATTTTCTAATATCTAATTCTGCAATGGGAATGCATTTTATAATAGATATGTATGGTCTATATTGTTTTTTAGAAAGGGAATTTTTTTTCAGGTTTCTTGAGATGTACTTGACATACAACACTGTAAGGTGTGCAGCATAATGACTTGATATACGTGTACTGTGAAATGATTACCACAATAAATTTAGTTAATATCATTCATCACTCATATATCATTGTAAAAAATTTTTTTTCTTTGTGATGAGAACTTTTAGGATTTACTCTTAGAAACTTTCAAATATACCATACAGCAGTGGTAATTACAACCATCCTGTTGTACATTGCATCTTCAGTACTTATTTATCTCATGACTGTAAATTTGTAAATTTGTACCTTTTGACCACCTTCATCCATCTCCTCCACCAATCGACCCTACCCCCTGGCTCTGGTAACCGCAAATAGGATCTTTCCTTCTATGTATGTTTGTTTGTTAGAATCCACATATACTATTTGTCTTTTCTCCGTCTGACTTATTTAATTTAGTATAATGCCCTCAATGTCCATCTTTAACTGTTTTACTAAAATTCTCCTTCCCTCTTTTTTCCATTATAGACAGAGAGTGCATGGGCTGAAGAATACTCTGAAAAGAAGAAAGGGTCTCACAAGCGTTCAGCATCCTGGGGCAGTACAGATCAACTTAAGGAGGTCAGGAAAATGATTCCAAAAAAGCGGGTGTGGAAATTTGATCCCTGCCTTGCCTAGCTACTTCCTTGAACTTGTGGGCAGCCAGGAATTTGTTAATTACCATTGCATGTGTGTGGGGGGGAGTGGAGGTATTTTTTTGTTTTTGTTTTTTCTTGATTTTAGTTTTTTACTTGAGAAACAACAGAAAAACAGTTGTTAATTGAGTAAAGATTTGAATGGGGAAATGTACACATTACTTACCTGATAGTGTGTTTTCTGTCTTTTTAATAATGAGAGTCTGTATCTCTTAATATAATGCAAGTATCAGATATAGAAGCTTGTAGTGCTATAACAAATTCACATTTTCTATATATAGTGGTAATGTTCTTGCAATTCAGTAATCTAGTATGACGAAGTTGATTATATCCCTGAGCTATGATTACCATTTTCTGTGCCTAAATTATAACAGTTGCATTTTACATGTAATCTAGAAATAAAACAAAACTCCAGTCCAGGAATAATATTGATTAAAATTATATTTATTATTTAAAGATTGTATCTGTGAATGCATTTTGTGGCTTGAATTGATTTTTAAATAACTGTTTAATTTTTGGAGCTGTTGAAGGCAAGGTATTTGATAAAGAAATTAAATCTAAATAAAATGTGATTTATAGGGGCAATGAGAGAGTAATTATCATTTTTCAGTTCTTTGTGAAAGCTGTAATGTTAGTTATTCTAAATGCTGAAAACTTGGTTAATACTTAGGAAGCGTGAAGGCTCAGAACAATATTTGGACATAATTTTGTTTTTCTTTAAAATACACACTCATATGCACATCTGTATGTATATATATAAAAATTGTGTATACTAAATCAGATTTTGTGATATGGTTTAAAAATTCAGAACTTTTTTAAGGCTGAATTTTACTGATTTTTCTTAAGCAAGGATGTTTTATGTAGTATGGAAAACATTCTGATGCACTTGTTATTTTTTTCTTTTTTAGATTGCAAAATTACGCCAGCAATTGCAGAGAAGTAAACACAGCAGTCGGCATCATCGAGATAAAGAAAGACAGTCTCCATTCCATGGCAACCATTCGGCCATTAACCAGTGTCAGGTAGGAGCACAAATATTACAAAATCCAGAGAAGAGGTTTGTTGTTTTGCTGGTGATGTGTTATTTCATAGGTAACTGTGTAGGACAAAATATGGAAAAGCATATTTAACTGATTAAATACTGAATCACTGTCTTCATTTAAAATAAAACAAAGTATTAAGTTGAGAAAATGATATTTTCCTTAGGTGATGTGTGATATGACTTCTAGGAGACATAGCTAATTTTCCATACTTTGACTTACCGTATTTTTATCTTTATCAATTTAGTATGTTGGAAGAAAATAATACAGAGAGATAAGCACTGGCTATAGAACCAGACCTTGGACAAGTAACCTGTTCTCAGTTACCTCATCTGAAGATTGAATATAATAATGATACCAATCTCACAAAGTCTTTTAGTAGGGAAAAATATTTAGTTGCTTTGATTCCTTAATGGAACCTTATGAACTACTCTTGATTGCTCATCCTGGGAGCATTTCTCTTTAACTGAATTGAAATTGAATAGGGTCCCTTTGCAAGTAGAAAGCAAGAAAAAGTTTGCTAACCCATTTTATATATACGTTGATAGCTTCTGATGATTGTCAAGGATATGTGGATTCTTTTCAAGAGAAAGTATGGGTAGAGGTATATATTTTTTCAAACTAATTTTGTCCTAAAATATTGGTACAAATGTATAGTTTGGTTGTAATTTCCAATAGCTTATTTTCTGTGTAAGGTATTTAATTATAAGTATGAATGTACACTAATAACATTAAAAAACCTAAAGAAACCAGATTTATATCTGGAGAAACAGAAAATATAAAATTGACAAAATAAATGAAAAATTTGTATAGAATAACAATAACAAACTTGGAATGCTAATTAAAAACCAGACTCCCTCATTCTCAAAAGTCTACAGACCCAGATAGTTTTACAGGTGAATTTGCCAACCTTCCACTCCCTGTAATTTATCCACAAATAGTTTACATGTATTTCTAAGAGATACGGCTGCTTTTTATTCCCAACCCATTTTTTTTACTTCAAGGAGAATAGGGCTAAAGATTGACTTTTATTGAATTACGTAATGAGTTTTAGGGGTTTAAAAGTTGTTGGTTTTTTTTTTAAGTATATTTTATTGATTATGCTGTTACAATTCTACAATTCTCCCTTTCTTTTTTCTCCCCTTTCTCCCCCTCTGCCCATTACCCCCATTCCCTCCAGCATTCCCCACCTTAGTTCACATCCATAGGTCAACATATAAATTCTTTGGCTTCTCCATTTCCTATACTATTCTTAGTCTCCCCCTGTCTATTTTGTACCTACCAATTATGATTCTTATTCCCTGTACCTTTTCCCCTACTTGCCCACTTCCCCTTCCCTGCTGATAACACTCCATGTGATCTCCATTTCTGTGATTCCGTCTCTTTTATAGTTGTTTGCTTAGTTTGTTTTTGTTGTCTTTTTTTTTAGCTTTAGTCATTGATAGTTGTCAGTTTGTTATCATTTTACTGTTCATAGTTATGATCTTCTTTTTCTTAGGTAAGTCCCTTTAATATTTCATATAATAAGGACTTGGTGATGATGAACTCCTTTAACTTTACCGTATCTGGGAAGCACTTTTTATCTGCCCTTCCATTCCAAATGATACCTTTGCTGGATAGAGTCATCTTGTTTTCATGACTTTGAATACTTCTTTCCAGTCCTTGCCTGTAAGGTTTCTTTTGAGAAATTAACTGATAGTTTTATGGGAACTCCTTTGTAGGGAACTCTCTTCTTTTTGCTTCCTGCTTTTAAGATTCTCTCCTTAACCTTAATCTTTGGCAATTTAGGCATGGTGTTGTCTTGGTGTGGTCCTTTTTGGGTCCAACTTGTTTGAGACTCTCTGAGCTTCCTGGACTTGTATGTCTACTTCCTTCGCCAGGTTAGGGGAGTTTTCTTTCATTATTTTTTCAAATAAGTTTTAAATTTCTTGCTCTGTCTCTTCTCCTTCTGGCATCCGTATGATTCAGTTGTTGGAATGTTTAAAGTTGTCTCAGAGGTTCCTAAACCTCTCCATTTTTTTTTCAGTTCTTGTTTCTTCATTCTATTCCAGTTGAATGTTATTTCTTCCTCCTGTTCCAAATTGTTGATTCGAGTCCTGGTTTCATTCCCTTCACTGTTGGTTCCCTGTATATTTTTCTTTATTTCACTTTGTACAGCCATTGTTTCTTTCTTTATGTTGTGGCCGTACTCAGTCATTTCTTTGAGCATCCTGATTACCAGTGTTTTGAACTCTGCGTCTGATACAGTTTGCTCTCTCTTCATTGCTTAGTTCTTTTTCTGGAGTTTTGATCTGTTCTTTCACCTGGACCATATTTCTTTGTCTCAGCTCAGTTGCCTGGATGAATGTTTCTTCTTTAACTCTGGTTGTCGGACTTCCATACAGCTTGATTTTTCTGGCAGTTCTGGTTGCTTTTTGTTTTTAAATTGGTTGTTTCCTTCTTTTGGTTTTGCAAGGGTGTGAAATGTATCTACCTATGCCTCCATCTTGGCTGGAACTCTGGAGTTTATAAGTTTTGAAGTGATTTTTTTAAGTTGCATTAAAATCCATAGCATAGTAAAATTATCTAAATATTTTTTTCCTTCCAAATTGACTTTCCTTAATAACGGTTATTGGAGTTTGCATAAAGTTCATGTTTATTTAATTATAAAACATCTCTTTGCGGAGAGTGTAAGGACTAGATAGAGTAACTAGAAAAATAAATTTACGTAGATTGAGTTTTGTACACATAACACACCAAACATCTTCAATACTCGACTTTGAATATTGAGTTGTCAACCAGAGATCAGGCACATGTACATCATGATAGCTGTGACAGTGGTATTCATGTTTAATTGAAACTTTCGGATATGAACATGAAAATAGTATTCATTAAGTCATCATTGTGTCTTTGTTTTAGTGGAGAGAAGTACTGCTTTGAGATATGTGTACCTTTGAGGCCATTCCTGCATCCACACAGTATATATTAAATGTCTGCCATATAATGGGTACTGTAGTACTCATTAAGGAAAGCAGTGATGAAAGAAAATATTGGAGATTGCCCCTGCTATGTCTCAGATATAAACAGTTGTTATACAATGTATTGAGTGTGTGGATAGGGGAGAGTTCAGAATGCTCTAGAATGGATATTTATCCTTGGACTGGTTATAGATCCATCTAGAAAGCCTTCTCAGAAAGTGGTGCCTAAGTTGATCCCTTAGGGATAAGTAGGATTTACCCAGTCTTCTAGAAGTTGAAGAAATCATGGCTATAGGTAGGGATAGTAGTAAGAGATTAGGTTAGAGAGGTAAATAGCAGCTAAACATGAACGTGTTCATGTTTCAGTTATTAAGAAGTTTGACTTTGTCCTAGAGGTATCAGGGAACTATTTTTTAAAATGCAGGAGATTAATACATGATTTTAAGCATTTTTGAATGGTCATTATGAGTTCAGAGTAAAGAATGAAATTTGGAGGAAGACAAGATTGGAGTCAGGAAAACCACTTAAGAGTGACATTTATCATCTAAGTATGAAATGATGGTGGCCTAAAGGAAGATAGAAGGTATGAGCTGGAGAGAATGGACAAACCCAAGTGATACTTTGAAAGTAATAATAGTTGGACTCTGTTAAGTGCTTCATACGTGTGTGTGTGTGTGTGTGTGTGTGTGTAATAAGCACTCAGATTTTTTTAAAGCCGCACCCAAGGATCTGTTTAATGTTTATTGATTTTTAGAGAGGGGAAGGCAGGAAGGGAGGAAGGGGGTAGGGAGAGAGAGAATACCAGTTGGTTACACGCCCCGGCCAGAGATCAACCTGCAACCATTTTTTTGTTTTTTGGGGTTTTTTTTCCATGTACAGGACAATGCTCTCATTAACTGAGCCACCTGGCCAGGGCTAGATTTTGATATATTAGCAAATATATTTTAATCCTTCTTTTTGAGGTAGGAACTGTTATTATCTCCACTTTACAGATGAGTAAATTAAGGCTCGGAGAGGATGTGGAGAAGTTAGAACCCTTATATGCAGGGTAGGGCAAAAGTAGGTTTACAGTTGCGAATATGCAAAACACAGCTTATTATTGTTAGTTAGTTATTTTTTTATTTTCCATACAAACAACTGTAAACCTACTTTTGTCCTGCACTGTATTGCTGATAGGAATGTAAAATGGTGCAGCCATTTTGGAAAACAGTGTCACAGTTCCTCAAAAGGCTAAACAGAGTTACCATACCACTAGCACTTTGTTTCCAAGGTATATACCAAGAGGATTGAAAACATGTTTACATAAAAATTTGTTCACAAATGTTCATTATAACGGTTCACAACAAAGTTTGGAAACCACCCAAGTGTCCATCAGCCAATGAGAGGATGAAAACAGGTGACATATCCATACAATGGAATATTATTCAGTGATAGAAAAGAATGAGGTACTGATACATGCTACAACATGGGTGAACCTTGAAAACATGCTAAGTGAAAAAGCCAGTAACAAGACACACATGTGATTCCACTTACGTGGGATGTCTACAATAGAAACCCATAGAGACAGATTGTAAATTGGTGGTTGCCTAGAACTGGGAAAGTTGGGGAGGAAATAGGAGTGACTGCTAATGGGCAAAAGATTTTTTTGGTGTGATTCCAAAATTAGTTGTGGTAATAGTTGTACAACTCTGTTCAATAACTGTTAAAACAGCAAAGTCGTACACTTTAAATGGGTGAATTGTATGGTAATATGAATTATTTTTCAATAAGCTGTTACAAAAATATCTAGCAATGAACATTAAAAAACAATATATGCAATACATATGTAGTTGTCTGGAAATCATAGATTAGACAATAAAAAGAAAAAAAGTAAACTGGGAGGTATGTAACAGTGTAGAAAGTGAGCACAGGTGCTCTGAGATCAGGCGGTTTAGGTTAAGATTTGGGCTCTGCCATTTGATAGCTGTAGGAAGGTCCTCAGGTTTCTCCATTAAAATATTACCCATTTTTGTGTTGTTATAATGA